AGTAGAGGGTAAGAGGTGGTATGTGTGTGTTACTATTCCATTGTTACATAAGTTTACTTCAAAACACACATACATACATATGCTTGGTGTACAGGGTGTTCTGTGGGTTCAAGAACAGCTTAACTGAGTGGCTCAGTTCACACACGAGGTTATAGTGTCACCAGGCCAGGTCCATAGTCGTCTACCTGGGCCTGAGGTTGGGCTTCTGAAGTGAGTCACTTACATTACTGGCAGGTGCTGCTAGCTGTTGGCAGACCACTGCACTTCCTCTCAGTGTGGCAGCTGCCAGCCCCTTGGCCCAGTGAGTGATTCAAGAAAGAGCAAGACAGAAGTCTTAATGTCTTTTATGGCTTATTTCAGAATTTGTACTCTGCTGTTGCCTACAACACTTTGTCGGCCACATAGAGAAGCTAACCTGTTCTCCGTGTGATTGCCGTCTTTGCCTGTGCTTCAAGAAGTATCTGGCCTGCTAGTCTTTGGGGGTAGGGAAATGGCTCTCAGTATAAATTGGGTTGGTTCTTGGTTTTCTCCACTGCCAGCTTATAATTCAGCTTTGTTTCTGCTAAGTCAGCTGCTCTTATCCATCTGTTTTTCTGCTTTCAAATTTTTGTTGTTATTGGCTTCTCTCCTATTCTCTTTGTTCTTGTGAATTTATGTCTTTTTAACAATCTCTTTACTGTGTTTTATTGGGAGTTAGGGAGGGAGTAGAAGCTGGTATATGCATCTGTTTTGTAATCTTTAAGTGGAAATCCCCTCCTGTTTCCATTCCTACTTTTTCTGGGCTTTGCCCTTTGATTTGAAAATTATTCTTTTTTATTTTTTCCTCCTATCTCTCATAAAACTTTTGAAATGTCCCCAGAACATGTTTTGAAAGCCAAAACCTGCTTTTTCTTTCTACATGCATTTTAAATCTCTCCTAAGGAAATGAATGAATCTGGTTAAATAGGAAGCCATAAGCTAAAACAACAACAACAAAAACTTTATACCTTTCAAATTATTATCTAACCACAGTAGCATTATCATCCTCAATCAGTAAGGGTGTTAGGTAAAGAAAGTAACTGAAACAATAAAAATGCTATTGGCCTTGTTCCCTCACTATACTACAGCCTGAAAAAGTCCCAACATGAGTTCCATTCTTCATCTACAAAACGGGGTGTTCGACAGCCAGTGAGATAGCTTTTTCTTAATCTCTCAAGTGAACCTCCCGGTGGTCAGGTAGAGAGGGATTGGTAGAGGAATTCTTTTCCTGGAGATGATTTAAATCATCTGTCATCATCATGATGACAGTTAAGGTGCAACCTTTGGAGTCCTCCTTGGGAGCCTCACTTTTGTTTGGCTGGGCCTTCAGGGTGCCTGCTTAATGATTATTGTACAGATTGAGAAGATGGTGCTTCTCAAAGATCCTATTCTTCAAGGACCACCCAGCCCTTTTTTCCTTTGGCCTTCTAAAAGTGAGGAGATATGATGTCTCCAGAGATTGGATTGTGATGGAGTGCCAGGTAGAGTGAACAGAACTGTTCAGTAGAATTGAGATCCTTCATTTCAACCCCAGAGCTTTTTCTACTATATAGTGTTTTTCAAAGTTTAATCTGCGTGTTAAAACATGCAACCATTGGGCTCTCTCTGGTGGCGTAAAGGATTAAAACATCGCACCATGAAACTCTGAAGCCACTGTACCACGAGTTCAATCCCTGGCTCCGGAGGTGACCCACATGGTGCAGCACACCTCTACTGACCTGCCTGCTGCTCCCCTCAGCAGTGTATTTCAGTCCACCTGTCTATTCTTCTCCCCACTGTCTCTGGTGAATCCTCTCACCCACTGCACCTCTGGCCTGTACCCCAGTTCTGTATGCACAAATAAATAAATCTTAAAAAAAAAAAAAAGCCTCTGGACAAGAGGCTCAGTCTTTGAGGGGAAAAGGACAATTTCCTCAGGATGACGTCAGTGGTAGAGTGACAGTTGTGTCAATAGGGGCTGCTCGTGGAGCTCCTGGACTTTCCAGGGTCTGTGTTAGATGATTCTGGAATAAAAGATGGTGCTGAATGTAGGGGTGGCTGAGTACGCAGGACTCCGGGACTGCATGGGTGACTTGGCTCCCGCCAGGGGATGAGAATAGAGGCTGAGCTGCCGCTGAGGTGTGTGCCTGTGCCGGAGGCAGAGAGCACATGGAGATGTTGTCATCGGTGTCATCTCAAGGGGGAATCAAGTGTGGCTGCAGCTGTGCTTGTGGAGAAATCGTCCGTTTGTGCTAACCAGTAGTAGTAACAACCCAGAGTAAGGAGAGGCTTTCATAGACACTGTCTGCATCCTTTCATCTGTAAACCCACACAATGTTCCCATGACCCCAGTTATTAGCCCAACACTCTTCACGGGGTTAACTTTTCTTTTTCCTAAAATATGATTATATTTCGTATCTTTATAGATGTTGCTTTGGGTTTAAAACACATGCAACAGTGCTGTAATTTTTGGAGAGTTTGCAATAGGCGCCCTCACGTACCTCCTCATTCCTGTATTTGTTCAGCTTCATAAATAACACTGTGGTTATTTGATTGTGTCCCCCATGGACACAAGCTCTCGTGGGCAGGAACTCACACATTCATGGACAAGGCACAGTGCCCATTGCTGGCCAGGCATGGTGGCAGTCAAAGGAATAAATGGACGATGGATCAACCTGTTGGATGGATGAACTAGGAGAAAATTGAGTTCACTGTAATGCTGACTGATTTGTAAAACTTGCTCTACACATTAGATAAAGAACCTGCCATCCTCTGTGCCAGACTGTGCTCTTCATCCCGTCTCTCTTCCCCCTCGTCTCCTCCCTCTTTCTCCTACTCCTTCCCTTCCTACTACTTCTTCTCCCTCCTCCCAAAGACCCAGTTAGGAACCTACATATGACACTGTCTCTGCTGCACCAGCCAATCCAATCCATCTCCCAACCAGTAGACTCTGACCTGCTTCCCATTAGCTTCCAATGACTTTTCTCCACTCATACCATTCTGCACATCACCAGCACAACCTACCAGGATTACTGCACCTCCCCCCGACCCCTACACAAATCATCTCCATTTCTTCTATCCCAGTCTCTTCCACTTACTCTTGTATAGTAGTGTCCCTCTAATGTTAAAGTCCAAAATGCAGAGCCTGACTGGATAGGTCAAGGTCTGAAACTGTGTTTCCTAGGCTGATCCCTCTGGAAAGCCCCTCTCTAGCCCCCTGCTCTAGCTAATTCACAGCTAATTTACCCAGTTGTCACATCCTCCAGAAGACATTCCTTGATCCCGGCCACTTATCTCCCACTGCAGACTCAGTAAACATACCCCAAAGGAACACTCCAAAGCTGCCTCCCCTCTGGTCCTCACCACCTTGGGGTACATCCACCTGCCTCCTGTCACCTTCCCAATCCAGGGGAGTGGGAAAGAGCCTGGAGCAATAGAAGGTCATAACTCTGCTGGATGGATGATGGTCTCAGGACTCCCTATCATCCTCTCCAGGCAACTTTTCTAGTCCTTCAAATGGCACCTGTCTGTTACAGTGGTTTCTACGGGATGATGTTAAGGGCAGAGGATGTCTGTCTTCACGGCACACTCCCAGTTCCTGCCGTTGTCTGCTTTGCGTTACTTTTGTCCTTTTTGGTATTAATTTCATCAGTCTTCTATTTGCATTTGTTTTGGACAGAATTATTGTGGATAGCTGAATCTGCAGCAATTCCCACCATCCTGCGCACCATCCACTGGACCGTCTTCTTGAATAAAGGCACCTGTCTCTCTCCCTCTGAAATATCATCCTCCAAACCAGCAACTTGTTTTTACAACTGGGAGACTTTTTCCAGGGTCCCTTCAGGAGTTGAAGATACAAGGGTTGGTGTCTGACACACCCCTGACTCCTGAGAATCAGAGGAGCCCAAATGTTCCCAGAGTGACATGGAGTCTCAGAAGCCTGACTTTGGAGTCAACCCATTCTTCTCGCAGTCTCTCCACTATCATCCCACAGTAGGATCCCAAATTTCTTTAAACTCATCCAGTTCTGATGCTATTATTGGGTTAGTTCCAAAACTACATTCCGAGGCCTATTAGAAAAGGAATTGGATCAAGAGGGTGAGGTGGCAGTAATCCTGGTAGGCTGTGCTGGTGGTCTGCATTTGCTGTTTGTTTAGCCAGTCTCTTTGCTTCTCTGGGTATCATTTTACTCACCTGTGCAAGGTATTTATGTACCTCCTGTCAACCCACAAATTATGGTAGTAATGTGAGTTGGTGAATGTGAAAATGCTTGTCAAGTAGGGAGGGATTCACAAAGTTAAGGTAAGTTGACTATTAACAAAGAGGGCGTGACATAGGAGAAAGGAAAGTAGATGTTTCATTTGACATTTCTTACTACCCACCTGTGGTCATTTTCATGCTGGTGCCCACATAGACAAACGACCCAGAGTCTCAGTCTAATGCCATGTCACTTTTATAAGCTATCGGGAATGGGCATTTAGTGGGAGCCTGAGATTACAAGCAAGTAGACCATTCTACCTGTATGTTTTCTGAGGTGAGGCCAGGCATAATTTAATTGCTAACAGCATGGTGGCATTTTCTGGAAGGCCGACAGTCTAACCCAGGTCTCCAAAACTGTCCAGAGTGGAGGAGAAATCAAAGAGTCAGGAATGTCTCTGAGCCCACCTTGCCCCCATTTTAAAGGAAAGTCACAGGGTCTCTGTTCACAAATAAGGTCTCTATTCACCCACATATTCTAGGTTCATGGTGAACTGCTTGGTACCAGGCACTACATATAGTATAGCCTAGAGAATGAGCATATGACCTTGGAGAATCACAAAACTTGAAAAAATGTAACTGGTCTTCCATGAAGAAATTGGTTTTCAAATCTCTCCTTGGGACTTTATTCAAGTTTTTGAGATAAGGAGACAAAAATGTGCATATTTTCTCCTGCACATGGGGTTATGCTGGACTTGAGTCCAGTCCAGCAACATCTGGGCCCCATGACTCTTTATCTCCTGTGCTCATGCCCGGCCTCGGGAGAAGGCTGGCAAGCGTAAGCCTCCATTGACATTGTAGTGACCTTCTCTGGGTATCTGCTGCTCAGCCATATGGCCACCACCTTCTACCCAGAATGCTTTCTCCTCTTCCCAGAGGGCATTCTCTTCCTCCCATAGGGACTTTTTATCTTCCCACAGGGCCTTCTCCTCCTCAAGAAGGGCTCTTTCCTCTACCCACAGGGCCTTTTCTTCCTCCCACAGGGCCTTGTCCTCCTGAAGAAGGTTTCGGTCTCTTTCCCATAAAGCATTGTCCTCTTTCCAGAAGGCTTTATCCTCCTTCCAGAAGATGCGGTACTTTTTCCAAAAGGTTTTCTCTTCTTCCCGGAAAGATTTTTCCATTTCCCAGAAGTTTTTTTCCTCTTTCCAGAAAGTTTTCTCCTCTTCCCAGAAAGGTTTCTCTTCTTCCCAAAAGCCCAAAATCTGCCCCTGAAAAGCACGGATCTTGACCCGGAAATTCCACATCTCTTCCCTGAAGTCTTCTATTTTCTTACGGAAAATTTTCATCTCTTCCCGAAAAGCCTTTTCTTCCTGAAGCTTATGGATTAATTTCTTCTGGCGAATATTGGGTGAGGTGGCCACAAGTGATCGGAAGCAAACAAGGCCCATCCATTTGCTCACCTTGAAGGGAAGCACCTTCCTAGTCAGCCAGAATGGTGGAGTGGACATGATGGAGGACAGGGCTGTTAACCAAGTTCAGGTCAGCTGGTCAAACCCTGAGGGGACACAAGACAAAACATAATGTTGACAAAAGCTGTCTCAAAGAACCTCAAAGAAAAAAGTTCCCAACCGGACAAAACTATAATTTTATTGTATATAGAGAAATAAACTTGGATGAAAGGTAACACACACACACACACACACACACACACACACACACACACACACACACTTCCAGGCCTTTTTCAGTGACAGCAAACTACATTCAGTTTTTTGGATACAGCTTCCCGATTCCACACCAGGACACATGTTGTATCTTCTTTAGAGATAACTTTGTCTTCCTCTTGTGGGCTTGAATGCCCTTTCCTCCCTTCTCAGAAAGATACCTTGGGGCCCTTCTTGGTGGTACAACTGGTTAAAGCACTATGAAGCTATTAACAGCCACTGTAGTATGAGTTCAATTCCTGGCCAGGGAGGTGACCCATATGGTATGGTAGACCTCTTCTGACCTGGCTGCTACTCCCCTCAGCAGTGTGTTTCACTCATTCTGTCCTGTTCCCCATTCTGTCTCTGGTGAATCCTCTCACCACCCCCACCTCTGGCCTGTGGCCCAGTTCTTATATACATAAGTAAATTAATCTTAAAAAAAAAAAAGAGAGAAAAGAAAATTACTTGGACCTGCTAGACAAAGTTTATCATCACCTCTTCACTGCCACCTGTCCACATTCCTACTCTTTCCTTGTCATGCATGACTGGAATTAGGTGTGGACATGTCATCCCTGTAACCCAGCATTGAATATCAAGTTGTGCAAATAAAGAGGTAATAGTAAGAGTATTGATTAAAATTAAACTAGATACCACTGGACTTGGGAACTTTGATTTTTCTACGTGGCAATATGGTTATTTGTCTAATTCCTATGAATGTCATAACTTAGTGTGTCACAGTGGGAGAAAGTGCCCCATTCTCCTCTGAAGTCTCCACATTTCTCTCTGCTATGCAAAGCCACTGAGGCCTGCAAAAAGCATTGGTTGAACTGGATTAAGTAATTCATCTTGAACAAATCCTCATGACCAACTAGAGCTGCAAGGACGCTCCCAGTTATAATCAGCTTTCTAATGACATTATTATCAGTAGTTACCATCTGGCCACTTCACCTGATTCTCTGTTTAATCCTTTCACCAGGAGATGGGTGCCTGGATGAATTCCATTTTATACCCCAGAAAACCAAGGCTTTTCATCTAACTCTACCACTGATAGAAAGCAAATTAGAAAACATTGAATGTTTTCATTAAATAACCATGTTTTTCAACAAACAAACTGTCCTGCATCTGCAGTAGAAACATTTATGCTGGTTTCTGCCTCTTCTGAAGTGTTTCTGGACCTACCCAGCACTGAAAATAACCATCATTCCCACTTACACTACAGCTTTATTTCTTTCTTTGTGAGAAATGTTTGAAGGAAGGAGAGAGCTTGCTGAGCCATATATCAATTCCTTTTCCCCATAGATACCAGCTGCATGTTCACTCCTTATCACCAGCCATAATTCGAGTCCTCTTTATGACCTCAACCTTTCTGTAGCCCTTGCTAGCACGCTTTCCTTTTAGGGTTGCTCTCCACAGAAACGGAGTGTCTGCGTTTATGAGGAGGAGAGAACCACAAAACTAAGTGGGAAAGTTAGTTTGGGGTTAAGTGGCTCCATCTACAGAGTCCTTGAGAACAGAAAAACTGCAAGTAGTAAGTCAGTGAGCACACAATGTGAGCCATACATAATCTCCCCTTGAATCTAACTTCTTGCTGAGGGCACCGCTGGAGGACCTGCTGGTGGCATCTACTGATGAGATAAATATGTTATAAGTCAGGTATTCAGGGACTCCCCTGTGTTCTCAGAGGATCTAGGTGCCCACTTGTGAGGCAGAAACTTCCTCAACTTCTGGGCCACCCTCATGGCAGCCACATCCATTTCGATTTCCCCCCTCTAGGTTCCTAGGCTAGGTCAGGCCCTCCCCACATCTCACACCTGCATGGTGACCTTGTTACATCAGTGATCCTTCACAGCTTCTTCCACCTCTTTCTATCTCTGGCTTTTCTGCCTTTGTTAGACAATCACATTCAAGATTTATCTTAAAAACATACCAACCAACCACCCAACCACTCAACCTCCCAGCAAGCCAGCCAGCCAGCAGCCAACCACCCTGAAACAGTCTTCCAACTCCTTCCTTCTATTTGCAATCCCTCTCCTTCTAAAAATCACACTTGACAATCACTGTCACTGTTTCTGCGTTGTGTTTGCACCTTCAGCCTACAGAAATGTCTTTGCCCTCCAACTCCTGTGACTTGCTAGTTGTTTCGTTCTGACCTCTTAGCTGCATGTGACACAAATCCTTTTTGACACTCCTCTTGGCTTCTAAAACATTAGGTCATCCTGTCCTCCTCTCCCCCTACTCTTTCTCAGTCTATTTATGGACTCATTTTCCAAATGCAGTGTACTTTCATCCCTATAAAGCAGAACCTACCTCATAGGACCCTTTTTTTAATATATATATATATGTGTGTGTGTATATATATATATAAAATAACTTATTTTTACATCATTTTGTGCCTTTTCCCATCTCAGTTCCTCATAGGACTACATACTAGTGCTTCATACAGTGCCTGCACATAGAAAGTGCTCAATAAAATAGGAAATAAGGGTAATTATAATTACTATTTTGGGTCTTTTCCCATTCTCTTAGGAGAGCATGTCAAAACAATCATAATCTAGTGCTGCAAAACATTTAGCCTTTTCTTTCAGCTACCTCCCTGATGCTTACACTCTGGTCATCTGGAATCCCTCAAACATGCCAAGGTGCTCTCCATTCCATGCCATGTTGTTTTCTCTCCTTGGATCACTTTGTCTAACCCCACCTCACTTCACCTGGCTAACCCAACAGGTCAGGAGTCACTTCTTCTAGGTAGACTCTCTTGACACTCCCTACTGAGTCCGTGTGCCCCTCCTATCCTACGAGGAACACATGGCCTCCCATTTCTATGTCCAGCACATAGAATTGTGGTGTCTGGTCTATAACAGATGCTAAGTAATGTCAGGTGAGTGAATGGCAGTCTCCTGGGGTAGAATGTCATAAACAATCTTCAGGTTTTCTCATTACCACTTAAATTATTTTTGAAAAGGATACCAAATATGTAGATGTGTGTTTAGATATGAGACATAAAATTTAATATATATATATGTAGATATAAAAACTAGAATCAAAGAAACATACCCAATCATCAACATTCTATTTCAAGACTATAAAAGCAGTTTTTAAGGGAAGTGTTTAAAACCAATACTACCCAAGCTAAAACCAACAGTTACTTACTGCTTAGCTGTTCCCAACTGGACAAGTCCTGTGGCCCTCTGTGGGCAAGAGGTCATTGTCATGTCAATTCCTTAGTGATGTCATTCACAGGCAACTTTAACACTGTTTCCAAGGACCCCTCTGTTGCCTCTCAGTTCTGACTCACAGAGGGGCAAGAGCCAAGATGGGGCCCCACATTAGAGACTTTAAGGAGTAGAGAGAGCACCTGCAAGCTTCTTCACCTTCCATCTTTGACTTCACCAATAGTGTGGCACTTGCAGGTGACTGATTGTTACCTCACATTCTGCTTGGATTATATCTAGGAACAGGCTTCTGGGAAGTCATTCAGTGGGGGAAGGGTGGAGGTAGTGAGTCATTTCTCTCACTGCCTTCAGGATTCTCTCTTTTTAGATTTTGACAGTTGGACTATGATGGATCTAGTGTAGCTCTCATTGTATTTATACTGCTTGGAACTTATTGTGCTTCCTAGTTATGCAGATTTAAGGCAGTTTTTTACTCAAGTTTGAGAAGTTTTGTGCCATTATTTCTTCAAATATTCTTTCTTCCCTTTTCTTAGGACTCCTACTATGTATGTGTAAGTACTTGGTGGTGTCCCAGGGTCTTTAAGGCTCTGTTCATTTCTTTTGGTATTTTTCTTTCTTTCTTTCTTTTTTTTCCTATTGCTTAGAATGGATAATATCCAGTGACTTATCGTTAAGGTCACTGATTCTTTTGCAGTTCAAGGTTGCTGTTGGGCCCCTCTATTTTTCACTTTTGACTACAGAATTTCTATTTGATCCTTTAAAAGTATAATTTACATCTCTTTATAAGTATTTCCCACTAGATGAGACATAATTCTCATGCTTCCCTTTAATTCTTTACCTATGATTTCTTTTGGTTCGTTGACCATAGTTTTAACAACTAATTAAAATTTTTTATCTAGTCAGTTCAACATCTGTACCTGAGGGACAGTTTCTAACCAAATAGAGAATGACTCAGAATCATAGTTTCTATTGACTGCTTGCTCCTCTCCCCATTTCTTTGTCTCAAATTTTGTTGAAATTAAAAATTTTTTAAATATTAGCTTAGGCCCTCCCTGGTGGCATAATGGGTTAAAGCACAGCACTAAAGAGCTAAAGCTGCTTCAGCATGAGTTCAATCCCTGCCTGGGAGGTGAGCCACATGGCATGGCAGACCTCTCCTGACCCACCACTGCTCCCCTCAGCAGTGTACTTTGTCAGTCCACCTGTTCTGCTTCCCACTCTGTCTCTGGTGAATCCTCTCACCCCTGGCTTGTACCCCAGCTCTGTATGCATAAATAAATAAACAAATAAATAAATAAATAAATAATCTTTAAAAAATATATTAGTTTAAGTATCATAATAATCAACAGTATAATTACATTACAAATAATAATAATATGATGTGGCATATTAAACCCTCCCTCCTTGGATTTGTTGGTGTATTTTTATTGTTGTGGCTATTTTTTCATTTGATTCCTTGGCAGATTCTGCTAAGCCATGTATGGTCACTGAAGAGGGCTTGATTATATTAATGGCCACCTACTGAGTAAGAGATTTCCTTGAAGTGACAAGTCTCCCTTCCTTTGCTGAGTGTGTGGTTGTCAAGGTACGAACTTCATTGCACTTGTAGTTCTCCCTGATCCTTCGCTT